ATCACATTTTTAAAAATCCAATTAAGTCTAACTGTAAGGAACCATGCCCATAGCCTGGCAGTTAAAGCAGCCAGATCACACACAGTCAACTGCAAGGTCTGAAAAAAAATACACCAATCACATGTACATAAGTGTCCCCAGTTCTGTCAGGGTAGAAAAATGGAGAAGGGATTGTAGTGTAAACATGCCCCATTAGAGATTGCTTGCTCTCTCTCCTCTGTGTTTCTCAGTCTCTTCCTCCAGTGAGCACATACACCCTTTTGCAAATAAAAAACATTTAACTCTAAACCTGTATTCCTAAATCTAATAGGAAATTCAATCATGGTAAATAATGTAAGGGTACTTGCCTCTCCCTAGAGTGATCTAAGAATATAGGAAGCTAACATAATATCCCCTGAAATAAAAGTAGCTTCTGATTCTCTGTCATGGCTGTTAGCAATATCCTCATTTTCCAAACCAACGTGACTCTTGAAGTGTGGGCAGCTCTATAGATACTGTGCCAACTGAAGTACAGATGTTTCTGTCTACAAGGGAGAAGCAGTGCCTGGCGGGTATTCCTTTTCTGAATCACGTCTCTGAGTTCTCACTATTCAGGTCACCAAGTTTGTACCCCTGACTCTCTCTGAACTGCCAACCTCTATTCCTTCTCCTGCTTGAAGGAATTTCTTTCCCACTCCTGCCTCTTGTACTAGGCACTTTCTTCTGTACCCTCCTTATCTAGGGTACCAAACACAATCTCTTCAGAGACAGTCTTTGAACACATAAGAAATTAATGTTGTTCTTCTGACAGTTTAACCTTTGGTTCTGCCAAAGCTCCCGGACAAAGGAATAGAAAAGTTTACCCTATCTTCTTGAAAGAAAAAAAGGAATAGGTTGGGTAGGTATAAATGGAAACAAAAAATTAATAATTATAATAAATCATCCTGCCATACCTTCAAATATTTTTCTTAGAAAATAGAATTCATAATCTGTAGGTTGATCACTGAGAACTTTCGTAGTCTAGATTCCATTGCTTTTCTAATTTTTATCTTTATATCTTTCAAGCTCTGCAACTACCAATCATGCCACCATCATATTCATCCACGTTAATTTCATGCTTAAAAGAGTGTTTTCTTATGTGTGCCTCTCTAGGAAATACCTATTTACTCATCTATAAAGATTCAGCTCAAGAGTTGTTTCTCTCTGGAGATTTGCCTGGTTTTTCCAGAATAGAATGACTACTCTCTTCTGTAGATTCCACTATTCCTATAACATTTCAATATATTCATCTTCCTTTACTATTCCACCAAATCTTTGAGGACAGAAGTCATTCATTTCTCCATTGCAGTGTCTAATACATGCCTAGATTAGGGGTGGTGTCCTGTAAACAAAACAAATAGAAATGCAAGAATAAACACAACAGAGAAACAGCATTGTTGACCCTACAAACGTGTAAGTCTTCAAGCCTTGACCTATGATGTGATATAAATCTGTGTGTGTGTTTTCTCACTACCTTTAATTTAGGATCATTTATATATACAGGATGTATCTTTTAAACCATGTTCATGCCAAGGCACAATGTTTTTTACTTCAATACATTCTATCTTAAAATATTTTGTATTTGCCCAAAAAAGAACAGTGTGAAGTATCACACTCCCTGACCAAAAATATATTACAAAGCTGTGGTAATCAAGATAGCATGGTACTGGCACAAAAACATGCATGTAGACCAATGAAACAAAATAGAGAACCCAGAAATAACTCCAAAACATACAAATAGTTGACTTTTGACAAAGGGCACCAATTAATCCACTGGGGGGGAAATCTCTTCTGCAAATGGTGCTTGAAAAACTGGATATACACCTGCAGAAAAATGAAACAGGACCCCTCTCTCTCACCATTAATAAAAATAAACTCAAAATGGACCATAGATCTAAACATAAAACCTCAAACTGTAAAACTACTGGGAAAAAAAATGGGGGGGATCTCTTAGAAACATTGGAGGTGGCAGAGACTTTATAAATAAGACCCCCAAAGCCAAGCAATAATCTGAAAAATAGACAAGTGATTACATCAGGTTAAAAAGCCCCTGCATAGGGGACCAGCAGTTAGCATAATGGCTATGTTGCTAGACTCCCAAGTAGTTGACCACAGTTCAGGTCCCAGACCCAGTAGCTTAAACTTACGCCGGGCGCCTGTGTGTGCGTGCCCAAGATCCCGAGAGGAGAATGGAGGAGAAGGGATTGTGTTGTGGCCATCCCCCCTGGGGGGTGATTTCTCGCTTTCTGTCTCTGTCTCTCTTCGTCTTTCTGGCAAGCACACGTGCCCTATAGCAAAAACCTCTCCAAAAAAAAGAAAAAGAAAGCCCCTGCATAGCAAAAGAAACAATAATTAGAGTGAAGAGACAACCCACAGAATGGGAGAATATATTTACAAACTATGCCTCAGATAAGGAACTGAAACCAGAATATACAGGGAACTCAAGCACCTTACCTTCCCCTCCCCCCACAAAATATATCCGTTAAAAGATGTGAAAATGAGCTGAACAGACAACGCTCCAAAGAAGACATACAAACAGCCAAAAAGCATATAAAAATGCTCAACATCCCTCATCAGAAGGGATATGCAAATCAAAGCCACAATGAGATACCATCTAACCCCACTCTGAATGGCTAAAAATAAAGAAATAAAGAATAGTAAGTGCTGGCAAGGCTGCAGTGAAAAGGGAACTCTGTACTGTTGGTGGAAATGTAAATTAATGCAGCCACATGGAGAACAATATGGAGATTACTCAAAAACCCACAAACAGAACTACTGTTTCACTCCAGCAGTTCCACTCCTGGGTAACTACATAGGATCACACTCAGTCAGAAAAGTACTCGCTCAACCATGTTTATTGCAGCATTATTCACAATTGCTAAGACATGGAATCAACTCAAATGTGCTAGAACAGATGAATGGCTTGAAAACATGTGGCACATATATAGAATACTACTCAGCCATGAAATATCAACAAGACTCTGACATTTGATAGAAAGTGGACAATTATGGAAGATTTAATGCTGAGTGAAGCAAGTCAGACTATGAAAGAGAAGCATTATATGTCCCCATTAATTATACACCAAAAATGTCTGTGCTCTATGACAGAAACAGAAAGACTGGAAAGTATAAAGGAATAGAGAGCAACTGTGGATACTAGAAACTATATGGGAGGAGAGTGGGCAGTGGGGTGCAGGAGAGTAGGAATTGGAAGGAAAAAAAGTAAAATATTTAACAGGTACAAAACAGCAAAATTATGTGTTAAGGAAACTAGTAACATGGAAATAAATATTTTTTAATTGTGATCTCAATTGTTAGCCATTGGTTGATTCCTGGCTATTGAAGGCTTCACCAAGAGTCAAAACTGGAGATCCCAAAATAGCAACCAGGCAGTGAAATAGATAGGTCAGCCATATTTTTACTCAGTCAGGAAGGTTTTATTATTATTATTATTATTATTTAAATCTGAGTTTCAATGCATTTCACATAGGTAAATCTACTCCTTGACTCTCAAATACACTTAAACATGTGTTCCTTAACCTAAGCCAGTTCAGTATACAAGTCGCTCAGAATCTGAATTCTTCCCATATTCCAGCCAAGAGTTGGACTAGTAGAGAGGTGATCATTTTACTGTGGTGGGTGTCTGAAAGTACTCGTACACACTGAGATGAAAAATGCTGCAGGAAGTGAAGACGGGGTAAAAGAATAAGAAGCAAGAGAAGAAACAAAGAACAAGAAAAAATGAGACCTGTCAGTTCTGCCTCTTCCCAGTCTCCAGTCCTTCTTTATCCTAGTACAGTTGGATACATGTTGACATGTAGCCAGACAAATGAGAGTTTTCTCAGTGTCAGAAGAATCATCTCAGCTTACACACAGCTTGGGTGGTTTTTAGCCATCTATGTAAATAAGGTTTAATAAATGTGATGTTGTTCAATTTAACAAGCAATTATTTTGAACGTATGCTGTGTTGGACTATATCCTAAAGCTGCAGAGATAATGTAGACAGTGTTCATATCCTTGGGTACCACAGTTTAGTGAAAAAAGCTGTTTGTTTAGTGAAGCAAACTGATGTGTGAATTGATCACAATCAGATAATAAAGCAGAGCTATTCAGAAGGTGCTGTGGGAATTGAGAAAAAAAGGCACAAGGATAAATATGGAGATCTGGGGTAGACTTTACAGAGGAGGTACCATTTATTCCAGAAAAATAAAGGCATTCAGGTCCCAGCATAGGAGAAGGCGGTGCCTAGGAGATAAGGCTAAATAATATATTAAAGGATAAAATATTCCTAGAATTTACATTTTAATCCAAATTCAATGGGGATCCTTAGAAGATTTTTTAAAGTAGGGAAATAAAGGAATTAAATTTGAATTTTAGAAAGTTAGGCTAATCCTCTAAATACATATCCTACTTAAGCTATATTAAGATAGTTTTATAAATGCAAAATGAAAGTATTTCAGTGTGTTTGTCTGCCAGTACTTGTATGAATTCACATGCATGTGTACTTCTAGAAAATTCTAGATGTTCTTTTTCTTCCATTGTTTTATTTGCTTTCTTCTTTAGACACTAAGATCGGAGCACTTGGGACGAAGGGCTACAAGCCAGTCAAAGAAAGTTGGAAGCTTCCAAAAGGAACATAAAACTTAAGACACCCCAGTTTCAAGTTAGCAAGTCAATAGTATTATGGAAATTTACCAGATACTCCCTGAGATTTCTTCTTTCTAGTTCTCTTTTTACTCTTGGTTCTCATGCCAATTCAGCCCAAAATAAACATGACAAAAAATTTAGGGTCCATAGTTATGAATGGAGTGTTTTTGTCACTATAGCAAAAGCACCTTTATAGATTTTAAAATGAAAGCCAGTACTTGCGTATGGATTCTGCATCTGTTTTCCATTAAGGTTTACATAAATGGTTAACAAATAGGATCTCAACAGAGGAGAAATTATAGGGCTTATTATAAGGATGTCACATTTTTGCTTACCTCCAAGCTGTGGCTTTTATCCCCATTGCTCGTATTTCTCAGTTTGCTGACATTCTAGTTTCAAAAAACCAAGACTTCAAGCAGCTAAATATTGCCTAAAAGAGAATGTCCCAGTAGGTTATTCTCTGTAAAGCTGAAAATAAATCACAGTATAAGTATGTGTGTTCGCAGGGCAGGATCTATCCCTGCAGAGGGATTCTAGGGGAGGGAACTTCAGTTTGTCTTTGTCTCCCTGCTCCCAAATGGGGCCAGGCATATAATTTGTCACTTCCATAGTTACTGCTGGAGGCTCTTTGTAAACATATTTCATATTCTCTCGATATAGTCCCTTTCTCTTTATAAGCATTTTAAGTAGAGGTAATTGTGCAATTAGCAAAATTTGTCCTTTACGGTTTTCTGTCCTTCACTCTGACCCTCAGAGGCATCACCTTTTGATCTCAATTGCCTCCTAACTACTCCCATATCAATCCCAAACAGTCTTCAAGGTCCAAAGCAAGTGTCTCCTTCTTTTTCATCCAAGTTCAAATTGGAAAGTGAGTTGGCTAGAAAATTTATTCCCACTAACCTATTAATGGCTGAGAGGTACTTCATATGTTATTCCTTCTAGAGATATTTGTATTTTTACTAGAATTGGCTTGCCCTCATTGAAAGATATAAATCTGCAAAGACTGTAGCAAAATTGATTTATTTTCTGAAGCAATTTGCTTTTCATTCCTTCAGTTGGCAAATAGCTACAGAATTAAGTTACTACCATGGCAGGGACACTTTGCTTGGAGCTGATGGATACACAGATGGGACAGACATAGATCTTGCTGTTAAGCAGCTTACAGTTGAATAAGCAGTACAGACTTTTAGACTGCAGGCACCAGACTATAAAGGGTTTTATTTACTGCTATAACCCAGCATCTAGAGAAAGCCCACACTTCATAAGTGCTCAATAAAATTTGTTGAAGGATTAAAAAGATAACAGAGATGAAGAGACAAAAGACAAGTTAGGCTTCCCAAATATTATACAACTTACAAGGGAAAAAATCAATTTTAGAACTAAAAATTTAATAAGACTCCTGCAAAGGCAATTATATCATTTTTCAAAAGTTAATTTTTTCCATGAGAGAGAGACAGCATATACAAGGGTCTTAACATTGTAATCTCCTCCCAGCCTTCAGCCACCCTCAGATCATTCTTTCTATGCTTTTTTACCCTACTTCCTTTATCTGGTGTTGTCTCTGGAAACCTATCTCTACTTCACTCCTCTGCTTCGGTTTTCATCGGCTGGTTAAACATGTGGTCAGGCAGCAAGAAATCTCCAAAAAGGAAGAAAGCCTGATTAAAGGATCTTTGAATTAGTCATCGTGCTTTTGGATAATTGATATTGCAGATATTGTCAAAGCCAGTGTGTGTGGCCTATTTCTAAAATGTTCACTACACATAGTGTCTAGAGCACATCCAAAGTCAGACCAGAACAGGTGCTTCCTGTATAAGGCCATGCTACATTCAGAATGTTTTCGTCAAATAGAACCAAATTCTGTGTTCCATACACACTATGACATTTTTTTGGCATTGTCTGTGATAATCAATTACTTCTGTGCTGTTGTTTTACTTTCTGTCCAGAAAATAGACTTCCCTGAGATCATAGGAACTGATTTTTAATCTTAGGCGTCACAACTGTGTATAAGACCGATTTGATGTAGCAACCCATCAACAGTTAGGTGTAACAAACCCAAAGCAACATATTGGGTAGTCCAGGAATCAGTCATTTCCAAGAAGTAGTATCATGATTTATCACTATGAGAGCCTAGAACCAGGGTTCCCAGACTAGATAGACTGCAGTACTCTAAAGATCCAGAGAGTAAACCTAACCTTTTTTGTTGAGAAACAAAAGGAAGAAGCGTCATAGAGTGAAAATTATTATTCTCAGAGATGTCAGATTTACCAGAGATGATCATCCTCTTGGACTGAGTTTCTCCACCTCAGCATTATAGACATTTTGGGCTAGATCTTTGTGGGAACTGCTATATTTAGCAATATCCTTGGCCTTGAGCCACTATATGCCAGTACTAGCCCTACCCCAAGTTGTGACCACCAGAGAATACCACTGGCCATTGTCAAAGGGGGAGGAAATTATCCTCTCTGAGAATTACTATTGGTCTTTGGGGAGCACTGTATATTCTTTTGAGGACGTGTAATAAGGAAGATAACTGAGGGGTAGTAAGCCATTCTTATCCGACTGGGTTATTTTAGTGGACATATAAGTGACCATTAAAGTGGCAGATAATGTCTCTTAGAGAACAGTGTGACAACTGACAAGAAATTTGTAAAGCACCTGATATGTAACGTCTCTCTTTTCAATTTCTATCATAAGCATTTTTAGTAGACCCTGATCCATAGTGTTCACAGAGGTGTGTGTATCACTTTATTTCGTTGTCAAAAACTGTAAGGAGTCTCAGAATTTACTCTGTTTTCAAGCCAAGAAGTTAAACTTCTAGTTTCATGAATGTTAACAGAAGGTATAAAACACCTGAGTTAGGGCCGGCCCATGGGCTAGTAGTGGCTAAGAAAAGCAGATCTCATATGGGCGATTAGACAATTTGAGTTCTACTCTGGCGGCTTGAAAAGCACCCTGGGCATGTATGCATGCTTCCCCAATGTCTTAACAGGATGAAGAAGTGGAAAGGAAGGTATTTTGGCATGACCATGCCTCATTGAGGGGTATTTTCTCCCTCTCTGCCTCTGGTGAGTGTACAAGCCTTATGACAAAATAAAATAAAATAAATCTGGGTCAGAGAGCAAGGACTGTTTTTTAGTCACAGAAGTAGCAGTAGCCAGAGTACCAGCATTTTCTTGAGCTGATTTTCCAATCCCAGTTCCCTCAGAACAATGGTAAGAGGATATGATGACATATTCACACAAAATGGATTGCCTGAAAAGTGTGGAACCTTGAGCTTAGAGGACGTGAATCTGTCTACTGAACTGTAAGCATGTCTGCCTTTTGCTCTGGATAGAGACACTATCTCTACCATCCAAGGCTGTCCATTATATAGATAGACATCCTTGAACAGATAGTCTTGAACAAAAGCAATCAGTGCCTCTACTCACAAGATGTACAGAAACATGAGGACCGGACTATATTCATTTGTAACTCTAATGTCTGGTACCCAGGACATCATTAATAAACATCTTTTGGACCAATCACAAAATTGCATAATAATATTAGTGGGGGCAGTTTAAGAAGTTATATTGGGTTGTCAGAAAAGCAATGTGGGATCAGTAGGTGACGTGATGTTTAAGGTGCTGAACTCCCATAGGGCTGACCAGAGTTTGAGTCCTGGACTTGGCAGCTTGCTTTCTCACTTTCTGTCTTTCTCTCTTGCCTTTCTCTGGTCAAATTAAAAAAAAATAATAATAAATAAAAGAAAAGAAAGAAAGAAAGGTCATGATGTATGTTCTCTATGTAAAAATATATCATGACTTTTCTGACAATCCAATATTTAGCCCAAATGAATACTCTACTAGATAGTTCTATTTCTGGTCACTGCTGTAGCAAATTAACATAAAAGTAGTGATTTAGAACAACACAGATATGTCGTAAAAGTAGTCAGAAGCTTAAATGGCTCTTCCTGGGAGAAAGTTAAGATGAGCACAGAGCTGAATTTCTTTTGTGAGCTCCAGAAGAGAATCGGCTTCTTGTCTTTTCCAGCTTCTGGAGGCCATACATACCTTGACTTGGAGCCCCTTTGTCTGCCTTTGAAAGCAGCAGTAAAGCTCTTTAAAATCTGCAACTAGGACTTTCCTGCTTCTCTCTTTCACCTGTAAGGTCCATTGTGATTACATCAAGTTATCTGAATAATCCAGGATGTTCTGTTTTAAAATTCTTAATTTATAACTGCAAAGTGCCTTTTTGAAAAAAATATTTTAATTTCTTTTATACATTCAATCACTATACAGCTCTTAGCTTAAAAAGTGAACTTTCCAATATGAATACACTTCACACCAGTCCAGTTGGGGATACTATACACATTACCATCAACAGATAATAATCTATTTCTGTGTCCCATAAATATCTTACTTCTATATTTTTCTCCTTAATGTCTTTCCTAAGACTCTCTCCTTCTCCCCCCCTCTTCCCACATTGTATCCAGTATCCATGAGAATTTTCCATGTTTCTGTATCCTCTAGTCTTCCCATTTCAGCCATAGAGTGTAGACATTCTGTATATATTAAGTGGAGACATACATTATCTATCCTTCATAGCCTGGCTTGCTTCATTCAGCAGTAAAATCTTCCATATTTATCCACTTTCTATGGCTGAGTAGTATCCTATGGAGTATATGTGCCACAATTTTTTAACCCATTCATCTGTTTGTGGACATTTGGGTTGGCTTCCATGTCTTAGCAATTGTGAATAATGCCCCGATGAACATTGATGTGCAAGCACTTTTCTGACTAAGCATACTCCTATCCTTTGGGTAGATACCCAGAAGTGGAATTGCTGATCATATGGTAATTCTATCTGTATATCTTTAAGGAATCTCCATATTGTTCTCCACAGTGGCTGGGACAAATTACATTCCCACCAGCTGTATAGGAGAGTTTCCTTTTCACCACTGCCCCGTCAGCACTTATCATTTTTTTTTTAAATCTTATTAATTCTGGAGAAGAAGATCCCTCCTGGCTCCTGCAAACTAGTTATTTCATGGTACAAGAGAAATGAAGATATTCTACTGATAATTTAGTCTCCAGCAAACAAGCTAGCGTAAGCGATCACAACAGAACGGCAAAGAGATTCCAGATCACCTTTTTCTGCTTGCTCCTGGACATTCAGATTGAAATTCAAGAATTAGAAAGAAACACACCATCCATCAGATGACTAGAAATCACTGCAGGACCACAAGAAATATGGAAAAGCAAGAAAATACCTCTCCTCCCAGGGAAAAGAATAACTCCTCTTCATCTACAAACAGTTCAATGGAAATCATGGAAATGTCTGATAAAGAATTTAGAAAATTCATAATGGTGAAGCTAACAGAGATGGAAGAGAAGAGAGACAAT